AGAAAGACACCAGACCTTTGTTCCAAGCTCAACTCCGATTCCTCCTGAGTTCTTGGACTCCAAGCGGAAGACGGTCCTGGAGTTAAAAAGGAGGTGAAAGAGGACGATTAGAAAGTTAGCGTGGCGTCTAAAGTCTAAAGCAGCTTCAGTCTCCCAATGCTTGCAAAGGTAGGACTCTTTTCAAGAATCTTCTGGCTGGCACAGAAGACGCGACAAACAGATAGAGAAGAAGGCCGCTCCGCCAAAGACCACAGCGCCAAAACCAGAAACGGTGCCACCAGAGACAAAGGGCACGCCCGAGCCTAAAGGCAAGGGGAAGTCTTCTTCCTCTACTGAAACCGGCAAAGGCAAATCCGAGAAAGGTGACACGCAGAAAGGCAAGCCAGCGAAAGGCTCTGCGAAAGGCTCCACCGAGAAGGGCAAGCACTGCGGCAAGGGCAAAGGCAAGAAGTGAAAGCGGTTGGGAAGAATCGCATTTTCCTTCTCAGCTCGTTGTAGTCGACGCCAAGGAAGGCATCCTATTTGGGATCGTGTTCATTTGCTTTGCTGTACAAAGTGATTGCCTAGGGATACTTCTTATGAAGAAGAGACCCGCAGGTTCTTGCCCAGGAGCCAAGTTGAGAATGCTCTCTGATTTGGAAAAGGATCTCATGCAAGCATGGATTTCATGTGTGCATTTTTGCTCCATTTTTGGGAACGCTTCCATTCAGGAAGGGATCTCAAGTGATAACTTGAGAGGAGCTTAAACTTTCATTGGGCCTTTCATGGACATTTCTGGCTGAATGTTTTTCCTGAAGCGAGTCTCCCTTTTGCTGTAGCTGATTCTGTTCACTAAGTCCTGAGTACAGCATGTGCGCCAACTCTGTCAAACAGGACCGTGATTGAGCAGCTTCTAGACGACATCCAGGAATCCAGGCCGGCCAAACAGCCATGCATAGTTTTTGGATGACAAAATACTGTGCCTGTTTGAAGCTTTGAGTTTCCTGCCAGCGCAGTCATATGTCCAGCCACCAATCCTGTGCTCGAGATTCTAGTGTAGGGAGTACCAGCACCTCTGTGCCGGAGTGTAGGAGAGAGACACCTGACCGCCTTGCTGTCTGCACCGTAGAGAGGATAATAAGGCACAGGTTACCTCTCAGGGGGGGAGGAGGGGCCCCCCCCGGGCGCTCACCTTCAAATCTCCAATGTTTCGGACCAAATGCTCCCAAAGATGTCCATAGCCTAGGAGACTATATTGGTAAACAGAAACTCTCGCGAGCTCCAAGAAGCTAGCTTTCGTGATACTTTTGACAGCCCACAGCCATCTTTCCAGCAAAGGAGTGGGCACCGAGCATTGCAGCAAATCTTCACGTCGAACGAAGGCTTGGAATTCTTGATGACTTCCAGGGCAGCCTGCCGAAACTTTCTGCAGCTCTTCATATAGCTCCGTATGATCAAACTTGTCATCAATTTCGCAACCACGCTGACTCTTCATGTTCTCAGAATCTCTTGCGTTTTCTGCTAGAGATCGCCTCTGCAGTCAAAATGTCAATGAAGATCGCAGGTGCTTCTGGCGTGGCATTAGCTTGTTATTCTTGTACGACTTCCTCATGAATCACCTGCTCAGACGAACAAAAGAGCCGGAAACTCAGCCGGACTTGTGCCGCTCGGACTCTTGGAGTACCGGTTTGTTGGGTTGTTTTGTAAAGACTTTGGGAGGACGTAGGGCCTTTCAGCCGGGTCTAGCAAAAGCTGAGCCAAAGTGAAGGTGTCAACGTCCCCAGAAAATTCAGAGGCCACTTCTTGCGGCTGCTTTCACTGCGCCTGGAGAAGACTGATTTGCAAAGCTGCTTACATGAATTTACACAGCTTGGCTTGCATTCTGCCACTTTGATATGCCTGCCGGAAACATGGCGCTTCCTGGCAGGAAGCCCAGAGGCGTGCTCGCCTGGAACGATGCGCAGTCGGACATTAGCGCACAGGATTACGTTAGGCACTTCGCCTCAGCATCTGCACGGCTCGACCTGTCGCGAGCTGCTTTCATTTCAGTGAGTCCCCCTCACCAAACAAAAATCGTGGCAGAGTTCTGCAGCTCACCGAAAACATGCTCAGCAGAGAGTCACACGGCGTGACTGAGCATGTTCAAAAGAGAGAGAGAGAGAGAGATATACATATATATATATATATATATGGGTCCACCCTGTAGTGATAGGCATATCGTGAACTAAAAAGTACAACTGCATGGCATACGATCATGCAGGCCCGGATTGTCGTATAGTTCAGCGAGAACTCTTCTCCGAAGCAACGAAACAAAGGGTCAACAGGATCTCATCTTGCTGTGACTTGTAGATTCCCGCCGCAAGTAGCAGGAAAAGTTTGTAGTATATAGTACATGGCCTGGTTTCCAGGTCTGTTCCTGAGCTCCCTAGACGACAAAGAGCCGCAAGAATTATACTCGGAAGTCGAATCACTTTAATGCTGGAAAGAGCGAGCGAGACTGAGAACATCTTGAAGTCTGTAGCAATCTTTGGTTCACTGTCCTGACATAAATTTCAAGTGCAAGTTTAAGTCTAGCCCAGCAGATAGGAATGGCATGGACTCTTTGCAGTGTTCTACAATGTTCCACATACCTTCATTTTCTACGATAACACATTTTAACTTGACTTCGGCAAATCGGCGGGGGTCGGCCTGGAGCTCGATCGCCGAGCGTTCGCGAGCCGTGCTCCTAATAGGATTCAAGGCTCCAAAGGCCATGCTCGTCTGCAGGGCTGAAGCGCGAGAAAAGCTTCGCAGTCGCAAGGGATCCCTGGCTGTCCTGCCGTATCAAACCATACCTGGGCAGCTTGAAGTGGGAAACACAGCGCGCATCGTCGCGCAGCATCGCGCAGCTTAAAGCGGATGGCAACTCTGAGGCCCCGGCATCTTTCAAGGACGTCCACGTCTTCGACTTGTTCGCCAAGCTTGTCATCGCTCGGCCATGCAAACGAGGAAGGGAGATGCTCGGGCTCGGATGCATCTCTTCAGACTGGTCTCTTGTGGACCTTCTTGCGCCAGGAACGTTTTTGACGTGGCCGGCACATCCGGCACTGGCTGTTTGTCTCGTGTGCCTCGTGTCTGCGCGGAAAAAGCTGTGATCAGTCCGAGCCGCTGAGGCCAAGGCTGTGGAATGTGGGAAAGTTGTGGAATATGTGGAGGTGATGGCTTCTGTGACAGTGATGCCTTGCAGTGGGCTCAGAGGATGTGTGCCTTCATGCTGGTAGATATTCTCCTTTAGAGATTTGATACCGGTAACCGCGTTCGCGGCCGGGTTACTGAAAATCGCACTGCCTCGAACGTGGGTTGGGGCAGTGGCTTGAAAATGGGCGTCGCCGACGGCTTCTGGAATAGATGTCGCGTTGCAAAGCCGTGAAGACTTGCGCAAGGGTCGCGGAGGCTCCGGCACTTGCTCTGGCGAGGGCGATCGATGCGATCGGGATGGCTTGGAAGGCTTGGAAGGCTTGGGAGCCGGGCCAGCCGGGCTGGAGCTGAGTCGGTCTGGAGTCGCATGGATGGGGCTCACGAGTCCTGAGCTAAAAACGGTGACCTCAGACGCTCAATGGCAACCGAGTTGCTAGGTCATGGAAAATTGCAAGGTGCCTTTTTGGGCACCAGCGGCTCTGGGGAATACCGGCGAGCAGGCCTTGGCTTTGAGGGCTTTGAGGACCTTGAAGCATGCGGTGACTCCGAGGAAGGCACGATGGCGTCCCGGCTGGAGCAGTCTGGGCCTGAAGCTGGAAGATCAGATGCTCTGATTCGATTCCTCTCAACAACACCAATGTGGGTCTACATGCAATGGGACAGCTCATCACATGGCAGCAGAGGCTGTGACGAGGAAGTCAAAAGCTGCCAAAACCTGCAGCAACGCTCACGGCACTTGTTGCCTGACGTGAACTCCGCTTTGCAATGAAGCTTGATTGCGATCCTCTTTGCCCAGGCTCTTCTGCTCGGCGTGTTGAAGATACTCCCGCTTCTTGCGCTTGTGGGCAGCATCCTGCGACCCGCGGCGCTCTCAGGATCTCCATGAACAGCTACGGTCAGGCATGCGAGATAGCCACGCGCCTGGCTCAAGATCTGCCATCTGGGCAGCTTCCGCTTCGCGAGCAATTGGTAAGGAAGCAAGAAGTCCGGAATCTCTTCGGAGTCTTCCAGGTCTCCCTCCCAATCAGTGCCTTCGCACTGCAGGAACAAATCGAGCGACCGAATAACCCCACATGTGTAGCTTAACCAGAATCTAAGCAAAACATAGAAGAGAGAAGAACAAGGCGATGAAGAAGGGATGGTAAGAAAGGACAGCAATCAGCGACGACGAGAGGATGAGTTGTACACGAGGACAAGTGTACTACAGCGAATATCGGAACAGGAGGGTGAGGGCAAGGGGCGGAGGGTGTCGAAGAGGAGTTTCAAGGGAGGAGGGCAGAGCGGCCGGGACCCGAGATGACGACGGGAAGGTCTGGAAAGGAAAAAACGATGGTCATGCTTGGCTGCCTGCATGCCAACAAGCTTGGCTCTGACATTTCCACAACTGTTTTTGCGCCGACTAGTCAATCTGAACAGGTACGTCAGTGGGCCTGGAACTGCCCCACGCTCCTCCTGAAGTTTCAAAAGCTGCTCCTGCGAGACCCGCCAGCAACTTCGCAGCTTTCAGCCCTCAGCCCAGATCTTTCGCGACCAAGTTCTGTCCTTGAGTTTGCGGATCTTCTCGTTCGCAAGCTCCAGCTTGATCTCAAGATCCTGCTTTTCCTTCGCAACAAGGAAGCTGGACATGGTGTTGTGCATGGCTGAAAGGCAAGTGGGAGCTTGTTGTCCTGCGAAGTGGCAGAGTCAGGTTTCAGGCGAGACGCCACGCGGCAGTGGCTTAGAGCTGGACTCACTGGATCGGCTGAGCCGCCTGGTTCCACCCTGTCGCCGGATCCTCTCACTGAGGGCGCCAGGGACTCAGCCTCGCCTGTCCTCCAAAATCAGAGCTGGGAAGCCTTTAAGAAGTGCTGCACGGAGCGTTACAGTGCCCCTGTCCTCACAGAATCCAAGCCTGGAGTCGCACGTGTTCTGTGCGTGCAGGCACCGCTGCTGGCTGCAGGACTATTCTCCACTGGCGACAAGAGCTCCTGGCAGAGATCGCAGCACATCACAGCAACATTGGCTCAAACATCAGCACCTATCGCACATCGCACCCGTCATTAGACCTTCATCTGACGCGTCTCCTCTGGATCTGCTGTCGGAGCCATGGAGGTGGTTTCCAGCTCATCACAGCGCTGCTTCAGCTGCTGCATCTCCGCTGCAGCATCTTCCACAGCAGAAGGCAGGGCGACTACCAGGGAGTCCAACCTCGAGAGGGCGGTTCTAAAGCTACCTGCTATGCTGTCCGCTTCATCATCCCAATCGGTGAGGCTGTCCAAGGATGCCATTGACAGCGCTCTTCCCGATGCCTTCGCCTCGTCACCCTGCAGCACCTGAAGGCTTTCGTTGATCTTCTGCACGCTTCGGACGACCCGGCCCCTCACCCGCTCCAACTCGGGCTCCAGCTGGCGGGTCTCGCGCAGCTGCTCCCGTAGTGACTGCCGCTCCTTCTGCAGTTCTACTACCTGCCGATGGAGGTCATCTGCACGCGTCTGTTCCTCCTCCACCTGCTTCCGCTCCAAGCGGACATCGATGGATGAGGCGAGCTTTGAGCGCAGTTCCGTGAGCTCGGCCTCCTGCTTCTGCATCTTGCCCTTCAGATCAACCAACTCCTCCAGAGCTGATTCCTCGCAACGCGCAACTTGTGGAGCTTGAAGCGATGGAGTTGGTGCCGGATCGGGCAGGCAGCCGGAACCTTCGGTTCTTGCTGTGCCGTCTGTACCTGGTGTAGCTGCTGTGTCTGTCTCCTCCGGCGGCATGGCCATGCCGACAAGTTGACAGGCTGTATCCTTAAACTTCCTCATTTCGGCTCTGGTCCGGAGCAGGTTGAAGAGCTCGATCATGATCTGGGCGGTTGCATGCTTCAGCATGAGCCTCTTCAAGACTGTTGGGAGGGCTGCTTTCTCAAAGAGGTTCATCTCCTGGCAATTCAGGAAGCACAGCTGACAAGATCGCCTACAAAGTGGCCGAGGCGGCACAGCCGTACAGGTCCTGCAGCGCGGACTTCAGCTGTCGATTCCTAGGCTTCCATTCTATGGATGTACGTTTTGGTACATGGGCTGTAGGAAAAAATCCCACGGGAAAACTGGGGTGATGATATTTGGAGCATCATCTCCTCCTCTTTTTTGCTCCCTATCCTCCCAGCCAAGCCACCCGTTACATCTGCATGTTATCTCCTTTACCTGTCAAAGTTCGTGAGGAGTTGCCAAAGGGGAGGCTCTAAGCCATCCAAGTCATGCTTCAGCTTCGTCCCTCAGATGTCGCTCTCAAACAAGTGTTGTAACACTCCACATGACGCTTCTGCTCCTTTGCGTGCCGCTTTATGTTTCCTGCTGCCTGTTCGACGACAGCGGAAAAGCGTGTTCAACATCATGCTTGCCTACGCACGTGGCGCATGCAACTTTGCAGTGCTTCTGCCTCCAACCCTGACCGCGCGCTCGTGACCTCAAGTGTCATTAGCTCCAAAGAGATGCTTTGTTCGCCGAGGCTCTCATCCACAAGCCGTCGATTCGTCTCGCGGATGCATCGTAGGAGGAAGTCCCTGTCAAGTCAAGAAGCCCGTAAATCCAGACATTAACGAAGTGGTAAGCACCTCAGCTGTTCCACGCCATCCCACTTCTGACTCCCCGGGCGCTCAGAACATTGGTGGCCTGGTGTCCTCATCCACAAACTTCTCTGGCTCAAACCAGTAGACCTGCATCAATCGCGTTTTCCACAAGCAATCTCACTGATTTGCCTTTTCGGGCCTCAAAGTCATCTGGAGTAAGCAAGTTCTGGCGAGCTGCCGCATCTTCCTCACTTTCGTATGCCAAGTACAACCTTGTAGGGCAGAGTGCTTGCATGGATCACGCTGACCAGCTTATCACTGGGACTGCTGCTGATCCCTGAGCCATCTCAATTCTTTGTAGTACCTCATCAAGTAGGCGCCAAAGAAAGCAGCACACCGCATGGTATGTCAGCAAATCGCGGAAAGGTCACGCTGAACGGCATTCTGCAAGCATGCGACTGACCTTGTCACACCTCTCAGCGCAACAAGGCCAGAGAAGCATGCAGCAGGCCAGGGTGGGGTGGATTAGAACATCGCAACTTCGCAGATTTCAGGCCAACTTTCCAGCAGACCAGATGCCTGGCTTGCTCATGCTCGCAGAGAAGCTTCAGGGCGCTGACCTAGGCCAGGAGACAAGCCCAAAGGATCTTGTGGAGCGGAATCGCAACTATATCATGGCTGGTCGCAGGTTCTCTGATCGACCTCTTTCAGCTGGAAACATAACATCTCTGGCATTTAATTTGCCGTGCATACTCTTGAGGAGTCTAACCATGAAAGTTCCAACCTCCCTTCCAGCCCTGCTTGAATGCGGTTCTTTTCACACCAAGTGGGAGGCTCAAAAAGAAGCGTTTCAAACGCGAATGTACTGATACTGAGAAACCCTTTTAGGGCTGTGCTATTTTGATGGGCTGCATTCCTGCGCCCCCATTGGGCCCTATTGGTGGCCACATCTCTGTTCCACCCAGGCTTCTGGGTGAGGGATCTGGGAAGGACAAACTGAGTGCTGGGCGGCTTTCAGTGAGACAAGGAGCCGCGGATGCTCCCCAGCTTCTGCTGCATCCTCTGCGGCTTCTGCTTGACTCCCTAAACCCCTAAATTCCTTGACTCCTACAGACCATTTGCTTCCTAATTTTTCTGAAGGGTGTTAGTGTTGGCTTTTTTCCCTGATGCTCCGCAGAAGGGTTCCCGTTTTAAGGTTGGGGTCAGGGGTCCAGGACGTGACCAAAAGTCGTCGACGTTTGTGTCCGCAAGCGTTCGCAAGCGTCCGCGGTGTCGGGCATGCTTTGGAGTCGAAAATCGTCGCGAAACGCAGACTGTCGTCACTTTTTGGTCCTCACGTCTCAAAAGTATCAACAGGCCACAGGGATCGGGAGGTCCTGGTCGCGAAGCGAAGACCTGTCGTCACTTTTGGACTTGCGTTGGGTCTTCGCGTCTCAAAAGTGTCAACAAGGTCACAGGGATCGAGGGGGTCCTGGCCGCCAAACGCAGAACTGTCGTCACTTTTGGACTTGGTCGCGAAACACAGGAAAGAGGAGAGAGGAGAGGAAAGAGGAGACAAGAGAAAGGAGAGAGGAGAGGAGAGAGGATAGAGGAAGGAAGAGAGACAGGAGAGAAGAGCAGAGATGAGAGAAGAGAGAGGAGAGGAGAGAGGAGAGGATACAGGAGAGAGCAGGAAGAGAGAGAGAGAGAGAGGAAAGGAGGAGAAGAAAGAGGAGAGGAGAGGAGAGAGGAG